CAATATAGACCAATTTGATGCATATACAAATATTAACCGTTTTATGCGAAAATTATGCATAAAAAAGTTTTTTAATAGAAAATCCACTATTGAAGATCCAATTAAGAGTGATGTAGGGGACTTTGCTCATACTGATTTAAAACCCCCTTCCTCCTTTTATCCAATTCATCTAAAGTCTAATCCTATGAAGGTTTTTGAAAGGGCATGCATCAATGATATGAAGAAGATAAAGATCAAAAAGAAAAGGAATCTAACCAAATCTGAATTATTGGCAATACAGAGTTTAAAGAAAGATTCCCAGATAGTGATAAAACCTGCGGATAAGGGGGGAGGAGTTGTAGTTATGGATAGAGATAAATATGTTTTGGAAATTTACCGACAGCTAGAAGATAAAGATACTTATTTAAAATTAAACAAAAACCCTCAAGCTGATATTCAAAAAAGATTTGTTTATCTTCTAGATAAAGGTTTCTCTAAGGGTATTCTCAATAAAAAGGAATATGCCTTTTTAAATGTGAAATCTCCCAAAATCCCAGTAATATATATATTACCTAAACTACATAAAAGATGTTCATAATCCTCCAGGGAGACCTATAGTTTCCGGGGTGGGATCCCTTTTATCAAATTTATCGAAGTACATTGATACCCTACTCCAACCGCTAGTTAAAAACAGTCCTTCATATTTAAAGGACTCTAAGAGTCTACTTTATATATTGAAGGATTTCAAGTGGGAAAGTGATTTTCTGTTTGTTACGTGTGACGTCACGAGTCTATACACGTGTATCGATCATAATATAGGATGTACAGCTACACGTTTCTTTCTTGAAGCGTCTACGTTATATCCAGCTGATCAAGTTGATTTTGTAATGGATGGCATTTCGTTTATACTTAGAAATAACTTTTTCTGGTTTGAAGGAGATTATTTCTTACAATGTAGGGGGACAGCTATGGGGACCAGGTTCGCACCCAGCTATGCTAATCTGTTCATGGCTTATTGGGAGAAACTTTTTGTTTATTCCCAACATGGCTGGAGTGCGAACCTGGCCCTATACAAACGTTACATTGATGACATTTTCATTATTTGGAAAGGTGATTTGAATTCTTTTCTCGATTTTTTTAACCATCTCAATTCTAACCAGTGGAATATTCGGCTGACCCAAGAATGTAATAAACAAAGTATCCATTTTTTGGATCTGGAAATCTCTATAAGGGAAAATAACATTGTCACACGAACCTTTTTCAAGCCAGTGGATGTAAATGGATATATCCATAAAAAAAGCTGCCATTTTCAACCCTGGCTAAGTAATGTACCTAGGGGACAGTTTCTTCGTATGAGACGCAATTGTACAGAATTGGAGTCTTTTGATCTCCAAGCGGAATTTCTTAAAGGTCAGTTTGTAGACCGGGGCTATTGCGCTGACATTCTGGATCTGGAGATCCAGAAAGTCAGAACAGTAGAAAGAGACACATTATTAAGCTATAAACAGAAGAATCCAGTCGAGAAAAAAGAAGAAAAAATACCTTTTATTTTCAATTACAATCAGGAACATAGAGCCCTCAAAAAGATCCTCAAAAAGAATTGGTACATCCTCCAACAGGATGGAGAAATCTTACCTTATCTGGATGATAAACCTAAATTAATATTTAGGGGGGCTAAAAATCTAAAACAAAAATTAACATCTAGCTATTTAGAAATGCCCAAACAGAAAGACAACTTTTTAGGGAATTATAGATCATTAAAGAAAGGCTTTCATTACTGTGGAGAGTGTATGGGATGTAGAATTTTTAAAAATAAACCTAAACAGATAGAAGAGTTTAAATCGATGATAGGGTCCATCAATTACAAAATTAACTCTTTTATGACATGTCACACAAAAAATGTGGTGTACTTGCTCACGTGTCCTTGTGGGCTGCAGTATGTAGGGAGAACATCTAGGAGCCTCAAAACAAGGATACGTGAGCATATTTATAACATAAGGAGAGGTTTCTTAAAACATAATGTTTCTTCTCATTTTTTAAATGTCCATGGTGGAGACCCTACGGGGCTTACTTTCCATGCGATTCAACAAATTAATTGTCATTGGAGAGGTGGCCATGTCGAGTCCGCGTTGAGCCGCTGCGAGATGAGATGGATCTTTAATCTGGACACCTTATCTCCGGGTGGGCTCAACGTGGATTTCGAGATGGCAGCCTTAATATAAATTATAAAAAACAAAAAATTCTATTGTTTACTTTTATAATAAAAATTATTGTCACTTTTATATTGAGGATTATAAAATTAATTATTTTTTAATATATTTTTAATATATTGTCATTTGATGATATATATTGCTATATTTAACTTCTCCTTATTGTGTGAAACTAATTTTGTTGTGGCTATATTAACCTATTGTCTGTTTATATAAACAACATTTACTTTCTTTTTTTTTTTTTTATATATATGTTAGTTTCCCTTCAAATAAATCATATCGTATGAACTCTATGCCAGTTTCCAAAATGGCAATTCTGTTCAAATGGACTTCCTGTTTGTAATTATTGGGACTAAAGAACTAAAGAAGCAATTTCTGATCATGTGATATGTTTGAAAAACCTTCGATCACATGATGTGTTTGAACCTGGAAACAGGAAGTTATCGTATCGCCATCTTGGTATCCCAGCACACAGAGAAAAACGAACCGATCGAAGTGTTTTACAGGAGAGAAGGATGGAAAGAACATGCATCATCTATATAGAGGCTAAAGTTAATATTTTTATCTAAGTATATATTTGTTATTAGTGGATGTGATTTTGTATGTATTTATGTTGATTGTATGGAAAGAAGGTTTTTGACCTTCCCAATATGGCGGCATCCAAACGGAAAGACCATATATGGATTTCAATTAACATGTGTTTTTGATTGTGTAATTACCTACATATATAAACCAGAATATAGTGCACTTATTATATTATGCACCTGAGGAAGACCTGTTATGGTTGAAACGCGTTGTGCCTTATTTTACTGTTGCTTTGAAAGTAAAAAACTTTTTAAAATCCATCTGGTTTTGTATCCGTGGTGTGGGAGAAAATACCTGATTACCAAACATCATTGGAGATAGCCAGAATAAGCGGATTATTCACAAGCTTTTACAGCAAGAGCCTGCTTTCCAAGGCTCTGCAGATCGTGAGTGACCCATTACCTCCGATTAATTCTGCTAATGTGTTACAGTATTATGCTATGTATATTTTTTTATTTTTAGGTTGATTCAGAGATCCACCTGATATAAGTATAATACTGGTTTATTTTATTCATTGCACCTCCCTATTTCTTTTCTGTGTTTTTATCAATGATATATACTTCCTGGTTTGGTTAGCTCAGTGGAGCTATATACTAGATGCAGGCCATTGCCTAGATCACCTGCCTTGCAAAGACTTATCATTGAGCTGCATTGGGAAGTTTGTGATTGGACAGCCACAGAAAGACTGAACTGGATAAGAAGACCTGGGACCAGAGATCTGCTGCTTTTTACAAGCTGTTTTTAGATATTCCCCCAATTAAAACAAAAATGGATGTATGTTTTTTAATGAGGGCATATCTATTAAACAGAGATTTAAAAAAAGTTTACATTTGGATGGAGTAGTGTCCCTTTAAAGTATTTAATAATGAATTAATAATTCAAATGTTATTACAAAAATGACTGGATGCACACCCTAATAAAATGTAATGTGCACATATCTTTTTTAATTAAAAAATAAATACAATTATAGTCAGGGTTCTTTTTCTTGCATGATTTTCTCTCCCCATCTCTTCTCCCATCATATCATTATGTATGGATAATGGTAGTATCTAGGAAAAGTAGCTGCTGCATTGGAATTTAATGTAATGTATGTCCTGCTGCTGTCTTAAGATCAAAAGAACCCAAGTTCTAACCCTACAAATCATGTACTATAAAAGATACAGTATGTATTAAGTGAAAATATTGCAATTAATTGGTATCTTATTTATTATCTTATTTATTATGAACCATATTATCTTATTTATTATCTTATTTTATTTATTAGGAACCCTTAAACCATTTTTATTTCTATATCACATGGTTATCGAAACAATTTAAATAATTTTTGGGATGCTGATATAGAACATAAAAAATTAATACAGATACTCCCACCTTAGAACATATTGGCCATTTTACAATAGCACCTATTTGGGCACCTATCATTACCGTACCGCTTGCTTTCAGAGACCTGTCTAATTCCCTGTCTGATTTTTCTGTTTTTCTTCTACAGACATAAAAACATATGCTTTTTAATCATTTGTATTTTTCCACCAAAGTACTAAGTAAACATACACTGGCATTTCCAAGTATCGCAAATTTCGATTGAGTCCATCAATTGCTTTCATATCTTCTGTGGATAGCTCGAAATCAAAGACCTGTGGAAAGAAGATATGTTAGCATCTGAGAGTCTGTTTCAAATCAAGCTTCAGCTTATAGGACATTGTCACCGAGCCCCTTGTGTATAAATATGGACTGGTGGTTTAGCTCTCTAAAATTTATATTTCAGAATGCAAATATACACAGATGCCCTTTAATAGCAAGAACCAACAAGTGGTTATGATTTGTCAACTAATCCTGGTCCTTCCATTATTGTGAACTTAATAGCTAAACATAATCAAACAGCCAAGAGCAATATATTACTAAAGCACTTTATCAGAAATACACATAGTAACATTGCAATGCTCCAGTTTTGATTTCTTTAACTTAATCCAAACAAATAAAATTTGAAACAGAAATAGGGCTCCAAACTGTCATTCCCGTTTTTCCGAGACCTTCCTTTCTACTTAATATTGGAAAGCGAACAGGACAGACATTTTACTATCTAACTGTGTAGCTTTATTCGGGTTTTTTTTTTATAAATGAAATGACTTGCAATAATGCATGCTGGCAGTTGTGGCCCAGGCATTTTTTTTTTGGAAAGTTACTAAGGAATTAGGTAACAATGGATTACCCTATACCCCCACACTCTCAGCCATCCATCATTATAATTTTCCACATATCAATTCGCAAGGCAATGACCCATCATATATAACATAACATTGTATAAAAATCCATAAGTATAATAAAATATCCAACTTTTTCCACACGATCCTGGCAGTGGTATACCTTTATACCCCTACACCACCTGGCTTCTGAGCTACCACTGAGCTCGAAACCACCAACATCTTACCAACAGGTAACCAGTCCATATTGAAACAGCCAACTCAATACTCTTGCTCTACGCTTCCTTAAGCAGGCCTCCTTAACTTTCCTTCCACTGGCCCGCCGCGGGTAGAATAAAACCCAACAATAAAGGGAGGGAGGGAACAATTCAGCCCAGTAAGTCAATTAGTAATGAGTTGTTATAAAATGGCCGACATTTATATCAGCCTACCCAGAATCATGATCTGTCAATCACCAACCCCTGCTCCACCTAAGCCCGCCTCCAAGCCCTGTCAAGGTCCCCTCTGCTAAGCTGCACTTTCTTCTTGGGGCTACATGATCTAAACACCAAAACTGTTTCATTACGCTTAAGTTGTTTTGGTGCATAGAGTGTCCCTTTAAAGGAAAACATCCCTGTTAAGAATTTCTAGAAAATGATAAACCCATGAAAAATTGTAATTTTAAATGTGTTTGCTGTGTATGTAATGAATCGCAAGACAAAAGTCCTTACCTTGATGTTATCTTTAATTCGCTCTGGATTATAACTTTTCGAAATAACTATAACCCCTCTCTGGATTTGGTAGCGGAGAGCAACATGAGCTGGGGTCTTCTTGTACTTTTTTCCTATTGATACCAGTAATGGGTCTTCAAGTAGCACTGGAGAGTTTTGATCTACCCTGAGATGACAAGAGATTGCTTTGGATTCATTTACTTTAAGAAATTTGAACATATCACAAAACACAAATATTAAATTACTTTAACGGATTCCACCATTTTTTTCGATTGGGAGACAGTTAGCTGTGTTGTGTTCTATGTGGCTCTCCATAAAGAAAAGCTAGGTATAATAGCTGCTGTTCTGGCTTTTTTGGCTCTTTTCTGTTGCCTTCATGAATTGACAGCTGTCCTAGAGTAGGAACTGTTTTGATGCCATTTCCCAGTAATGGGCGAAACTATTTTATAAATCTCATCTCATAGTGACTTACATCATGTGGGTTCTGCAGAGCTGCATGGGAAACTTGGTCAAAGCCAGGTAAAATCATTGTTGATCTGCTTGGAAACTTACCATCTCACCAAAACTCTTCAGCGGATATTCAAAAGACTACCCATGGTTAAAACATGCTAGCTTTCTTCCATATATTGAATCAACTTGGAGTTTTCAATTATTTAGCAGATAACATAACACTGCTTGAGTCTTGTCAAAAGACACCAATGTGTCTGTATGTTACACATTAAATATGTAGTGATGTCGCGAACCCGAAATTTTCGGTTCGCGAACAGCGAACGCGAACTTCCGCAAATGTTCGCGAACCGGCGAACCGCCCGAAACGCCATTGACTTCAATGGGGAGGCGAATTTTAAAACACACAGGGACTCTTTCTGGCCACAATAGGGATGGGAAAGTTGTTTCAAGGGGACTAACACCTGGACTGTGGCATGCCGGAGGGGGATCCATGGCAAAACTCCCATGGAAAATTACACAGTTGATACAGAGTCTGGTTTTAATCCATAAAGGGCAGAAATCACCTAACATTCCTAAATCACAATCAATATGGATTGACACCTGACATATGACATATTGACACCTTGACATATGGATTGACACCTGTCCTCAGAGCCCCTGATGCACACGGACACAGAGCAGAATAGAGACTGGTCCCCTACATAGGGTCACTTGGCAGATATGGATTGACACCTGTCCTAAGGATCCCTGATACACACTGACACAGAGCAGAATAGGGACTGTTCCCCTACATCGGGTCACTTGGCAGATATGGATTGACACCTGTCCTAAGGTTCCCTGATACACACTGACACAGAGCAGAATAGGGACTGGTCCCCCTACATAGGGTCACTTGGCAGATATGGATTGACACCTTATTACAAACTGCTATTTGTAACGGGCCCTTTAAATGGCAAATTGCCCTGCTTCCCTGGGTTGTGGAGAGCCTATTTGCCAGCCTCCTCCCGCATGACTATGGCCCCTGGGAGATTGTGAAAATGTATGCACTTTTATTTGGTGTGTATGGCCCTTTAAGACTGTCGGTGGGCATATTGGGGCTTATGGACTCTTTATGTGACTGGTGCTGGCCCTTTAAACACCTTTTTTGGGACATCAGGAAGATTGGGACACTGCCCCTTTAAGGCCGTGTCCCCAGACTGTTGGGGACACGGCCCCTTTAAGACGGTGTCCCCTGTGTCCCCAGACCTGGTGCAAACCCTTTGTGCCTGCCTTGCTATTTCCCACTTGGTTCAGTAAATGGGAAATTATTTCAGCTGCAGAGACTAAGTCCCATTCGGCGATGGGACTTAGTCGTTTTTTCAGCCTGAAATAGACCGACCTCACAGCCCAAATCTATGGAACTGTTTTGGGCAGGAAAATGTGCTTGCGGTCGGTCATAAAGGGACCTCCAGCTAACTTTTAACCCCTGGATGGATTTGGCTGATTTTTGGTTATGTTTATGTTTTAAGTGTGCTGATTCCAAATATGTAATTATGAAGATGGGATGTGTAGTTTTAAAGTTACAGTGTATGGCTAAAAACTGTATTTTTACTGCCTGTGTTTAATTATGTTAATCTCTTCCCAAACGTCATTTCGTTCAAAGTGGAGAGAATGTTAAAAAAAAATATTTTTGTTCGGATTGTGAGAAATGCTTTTCAGCCGCTTCTAATCTTAAGCATCATTTGAGGAGCCATACAGGAGAGAAACCTTATTTGTGGTGTGTTTAGTATTGTTCTGATCAGTTTAATACCTTTCGCATCTCCTATCAGTGGACGTGTATATGGCAGCAATTTTAGGAACCCGTACAGGACCCGAAACAAGGTCACCTCGTTCAACAGTGACAACATTTGTCCCTGGAAAGTATCCTGGACATTCTGTACAATTTGTATGGATATGGCAGTGATTTCTGTAAGCTTTAAAGGGAGATGGAAGAAGATGCTTAGTGGGGTCCTCTTAATTCAAATTTGGGGCACTACTTGGCGGTCAAACTAATGTGCCACCAGATAGAGTGGTGTGTGTTGTATTGTTCTGATCAGTTTAATACCTTCCACGTCTCCTATCAGTGGTCGTGTACACGGCATTGATTTTTGTAACAGGGAGATGGAAGAAGAGGCTTGGTCGGTCCTCTTAATTCAAATTTGGGGCACTGCGCGGTCAAACTAATGTGCCACCAGATAGGAGTGGTGTGTTTAGTATTGTTCTGATCAGTTTAATACCTTCCACGTCTCCTATCAGTGGTGGTGTACACGGCATTGATTTTTGTAACAGGGAGATGGAAGAAGAGGCTTGGTCGGTCCTCTTACTGCAAATTTGGGGCACTCCGCGGTCAAGCTAATGTGACACCAGATAGAGTGGAGTGTTTAGTACTATTTTTATCAGTTTAATACCTTCCAGCGTCTCCCCATCAGTGGTCCTGATACACACTATTTGACACAGAGCAGAATAGGGAATGTTACCCCAACATGGTCACTTGGCAGATATGGATTGACACCTGTCTAAGGATCCCTGATACACACTGACACAGATCAAGAATGAGAATTACCCCAACAGCGCCGGGTCACTTGGCAGATATGGATTGACACCTGTCCTCAGAGAGCCCCTGATACACACTGACACAGATCAAGAATAGGGAATGTTTACCCCTACATAGGGTCACTTGGCAGATATGGATTGACACCTGTCCTAAGGATCCCTGATACACACTGATATACACCTACTTGGATGGTATAGACATTTTTAGCTGCTCCTGGCCCGAACACCTGACCCACATAGGAGCCGTAATAGACCGGATTAGGGAGTCCGGACTGAACCTAAAGCCCAGTAAGTGCCATATAGGAACGTGTAAAAACCTCCCCAAGATAGTAGTATGGGCCCCAGAGTGTGAACAGGCCTTCCAACAGCTCAAGACGGCGCTCAATAAATCACCTGTACTTTCTTCTCCTGATCCAACTAAACACTTTCGTCCATACAGGCTTCTATGCTTGGATTGGGAGCAGTGTGGAAACCAAGTCGGGCAGATGGTGGCTAGCAACCCGGGACTTATCTAAGCCGTAAACTTTTGCACAGCGAAGTATATTCACTGCCATTGAAAAGGAGTGCATAGCGGTGGTGTGGGCCCTCAAAAAGCTGCAACCTACTTGTATGGACAACCGTTTACCTTACTCACAGATCACAACAAATTTGGGGCGTGCAATCTAATGTGCCACCAGATAGGAGTGGTGTGTTTAGTACTATTGTTATCAGTTTAATCACTGTTACGCCCCCTATCCGTTGATGTGGAGCAAGACGCAGCAACAGAAGAGGACTAAGCCGAGGAGGTTATGGAAGAGGATGGAGTAGGAGGAGTAGAGGAGGTGGCAGCGTACTGGCAGAGTACACGCTGTAGGGCTGACACACCTGCTTAAAGATAACTAACTGCTATTCAATCTATAACAGTGAAAAAAGTTTTTTGGTTTTTAAATGCACGCTATTGTGACACCAGTGAGTGAGTGGTGGCACTGGGCACAGTATCCACTGTGGGCCTGACACACCCGCTTTGAGACAACTAACTGCTATTCAATCTATAACTGATGTTTGTTTCACAGACAGAAAGTGCCCTAAAACATGGCGGCTTGAAACCTAGTTGGTGGCGGATCAGTCACGCAAGTCAACAGGCATTCAGAGCTAAAATACAGCAGCGTGTGGACCATTTTTAGCCCAAGGCAGCTCATCTCATCAGGCCTTTTTTAATCTAATAGAAATAAGAATTTGTGTGTTTTCAAGGCGCTTTCAGTTAATAATTGAATAAAATGACAGCAGCTACCACACAAATAGGGACTCTCTACCCTATAGATTAGTACAAAAAAGATTAGGTGTACACTCAGTATTGGAAATTAATGATAAAAACCACCACTGGTGTGCATATGGAGCGCTTACAAATTTGTTGACTCACCCATATGGGTTAACATACATATGTATGGAAAACGTGACTCACAGCGATATATCTGAAACAAATGTAAATGCAAGAAATAGTGCAGATAACGTTTTCAATAAGTGCAGTGAGGGAATATTCTATATGGTCTCACTCACATGTAGCAGAGCCCTATAGGATAGGCTCAGATCTCAATGGCCTGCGTGTGCTTATGGTGACACAGTACCCAATCGGTCCTCTAGGCGCCTGGAGATCCTTATGCATACATATGAGAGAGAGAGAGAACAAGGGGAAGAGGAGAACCCCTAGTGCGGTCAATCCCAATGTACAATGTCAAATAGTGCAGAAAAAGTGGCTTCTCACCTGATGTGGAGCCCTATACCTGGCTCCTGGTGTGTAGGTGTCTGTGCCTTTAAGGGGGCAACTACCCTTCTTTAAGCAGCAACAATGGAGGGTGGATTCCAAATATAAAACAAAATTTATTAAATAAAGTAGTAAAAACTTACAAGTAAAATATAAACAAAATTGTGAGAAATTATAAAATGTGGAATCTTCAATCCTCCAGCCGAAACATGTTTCACTGTACCCAGACAGCTTTTTCAATCGGTAATATAGTTGCTGCTGTTACTTGTTTAAATACTTTGTACTTCCTCCTGTGTAGTCCTTCAAACTTCCCTCCCTCCAATCCGCTGGCGTCCTTTTTCATGAACAGCTGTGCTGTGTTAGTAATGAGAATGCTCCGGTCTCGGAACAAGTCATGTGACCCGAAGCATCACATGCCGCATCACAAATTGGGCGTGTTTTCAATGTAGGGCTCACAGTTCCATATCGTCCATTTTTAAGTTGGGCAAAATGCCCTTCCTTCAACCAAGTCCGTTCCTATTTACAAGCCAGATGCTCAATTTGAGCGATATATAAACGAAAAAATGAAGGGAGAAAAGGGGATAGTATTATTGTATATTGCTTACAAGTTAATTCATAAAATTTACATATCAAAAAAAATAAAAACATCTATTGTTTTTCATTCAAAGTGACAGTACATGCATAAAGATAGGTGGTGAATAGGAGTGTGCTCTTTTAGGAGAAATGCTGATTATTATTGAATAGATCTCAATTGTGTCAGCAGCTTATCTTCAATGATGATATCAATATTAAAATATATATATAAAAAACATATAAATATATAGTAGGTTCCTAGCTGGTCTCCCATACAAGTACTAACCAGGCCTAAGCCTGGATGGCTTCTGAGATCTGACGAGATCAGGCATTTTCAGACTGGTATGGCCATAGAGCAAATATTTAAAATGTATGAAACATACTAATAAAAAAATAACTTTTTTCAAACCTGTGGATGTTAACAGCTACATTAGGGAGAATAGCTGCCATTTCTCCCCATGGTTGCTGAATGCACCCAAAGCGCAATTGCTCAGGATAAGGAGGAATTGCACGGAGGAATGTAAATTCCAAGAACAATCCCACAAAATTCTGAAAGATTTTAGAGAAAAGGGATATAACGAGACATTGTTGGGGAAAGCCCTTGAAGAAGTCAAAATAAAGGACAGAAAAGATCTAATTAAATATAACACTAAAAATA